ACAAAGAAATAAAATTGCGCGCTAAAAACTTAATCGTATGTCTTTATCCTATTTATTTTTTACTCAATATCTTAATAGGTAGTTCACTTTATTTTTACTTTCATTTTTAAAGATAACTAGTTTGAAATTTCTACTCACTAATACAAAATATTTCAGTTTACAATTATGAAGAATTTTTTATTTGATACTAGCATTTTTATGTAATTTGCTAGCATGTATCTGTTATTAACATTTCTTTTTTCATGTAATGTTAAACTATTAATTTATTCTCATTATTTACTTATTTGATGTTGAAACTCATACCTATGATTATTTCTTTAACTTTTTAAAAACTTTATAAATCTATGATTAATAGTTTTTCATTTTGGCTTTCAAAATCTTTTTTATGAATTACATTCTAATTGATAATAATTAATTAAGACAAATAAATAAGACTTTTAAATTAATAAAGCCATACATATTTCTAAGTTTGTATTATTTTTGTGTATAGTGTATATTATAAAGCTGTTATTTGTTTAATTAAATTTAAAATAATTTCAAATTAGCTAAAGTATAAACAAAATTGTAATTAATTGTTAGACTTCAGTATTTTTTATTTTATTTCAATCCACAATCTTGATACTAAAATTAACGTAAAACTATTTATCGCAGGTTTTGAGGTTCACAAGTTAGGGTCAAACTTGATCATGTTAACATTATCTTCATTTATATTAGATTTAGAAAAACGTGAATATACTCAAACTTCTTCTGATCATTGAACCTAAACAAGGTTAAAGTTTTATATTCATTTTGATTTGTAAGCAGATTTATTATTTACACTCGCTTAAATTTTTGTGTCTTTGGTATTTGCAGTATAGGCAACTTTTTACAAGCCATTTTATTTATTTTATATAATTTAATTTAAAATTAAAATAAATACTATTTCTCTTTAACGTTAATGTTGTATTTTAGTTATACTTGAAATGCATTTTGATGAGTAAACTTGTTTTACTTTGTTGGTAAGCTTTATTAGTCACGTCTGTCATATCTTCTTTAGCCGAAATTGCCTTCATATAACTCAGGGCTAAATTACTGCAGATGTATGCTTAAGATTAAGTTGGTAAATTAATTGCATTCCCTTTAAACCAATGAATATTTGACACATTTCTAAGTGTTTAAATACCTACAGAAAGAAAACTTCATTAGACGTACTAGGAACTGAATTGGAAGATGACAATAGAAAAACATTATATTGGATTTCTTTATTATCATATTGTTATTTATCTATAAAGTTATGAAGTAACTTTATTTTTATGAATAAAGTAATGTACACTGAAAGGTTCCTTAACCCGATATAGATAGGATTGGTATTTTTTGAAAGGCAAGATAACCGTTCGCATTTTATATGAAAAAGAAATACTAGGAGCTAGCAACTGATAAGAGAAATAAGAGAGATCTAATAAGTTCGTTTATAACAGAATCCATTTAACGGAGAGCATGCACTCCATGCATTTATTAGAATTGAAAAATAATTTTTTATTTATTATTGTTTTTTGCAATGAACTAATAATTTAACAAAAAGTCTTAATAACTATCAGATTTATTTGAAAAAAATTTTGTATATTGCTTTCTTTCGATCGATATCTTACTAATCGGATTTAAATACGTTGCTTATCGCTTCATGTCGTTAAATATTTGTATCTCAGTGTAAACAATAACAACAATATTAGTGCATATTTTTATTATTCACAAATTTAAATAATTCAAATTATTTTAATAAGTGCAGAATAAAACTATGTGATTTGCTATGGACTGTCCGCCACTTGGCTTCGTTCACCACTGTCCACGTTTCTGTACGCAATTAAGGTTCACCTAATATTTTGGCTTTAAATTAAAAATTGTTGCACTTATTATTTTGTGTAAATATATTTGCATTATTTCGCTGAAATTGACAGCCGCCTCTTGTCGAGATACGTGTTTACCCAAATTAAAAATTATTTCGAAACTTTTGTTTGCGTACTTTGGGTAAATTGCAACCTTGATTTTTAATTTGCGATTTTGGTTACACTTTTGTAATAAGAAGGTTCATTGCTGGCATATTAATCGATGAGCGGCTGCGTGTCGTTTATCTATCAGTAGCCGAGGCAGTCACTTCTTGCATACGAAATCGCATTACAAAATTCATCGCTATATAGAGGGGCTTAAATTCACTTCAAAATTATTTTCTCAAATTCTTTTATAACCGATTTGCTTATCACTTGATTTACTTTTTATTGCTTTGTAAAACGTTTTATAGAAGCTGTCGTTTCAAATCATCTTAAATGGTCATTTCCATTTAATAAATTCTGCTCATGTCGTCAATGACAAATTTATTTACCTTTATTCGTTACTACAGGCAAAATGAAAAAATAACTGCTTGATATATCTCAGATTTTGTTATTCTATATTCGTTCACATTTGGTGTTTTTGCTGATAAGTAAGATTGACTAACAAATATAAATTAATTTTTTACCCTTTTTTTGAATGAAATCGGTTTCATAACTTTTACTCTGTATGTTATATTATAACATACTATATATGATATTTATTATATCAGCAGCAAAACACATGTAAACATAATAACTTCTATTAGCATATAACCATTTATTTGTTATTGGAAGTTTGATATATTGCAGACCACGTCAGATACAACTTAATTTTTATTACAAAGGTACAAAATACTATCATAAAAATCATATGAATCTTTAAACATATATTTCCATACGTTTAAACTCATACTTATACAAATTATAATTGATTAAAAATTAATATTTTCGGTCAACTTTAAATTTAGCCATCTATTCACATTAGATTAGGTTAGCTTGTAGGGTCATTTTGCCTGCCAAAGTGCAGTGGAATACAAATTATGGCTCGTTGAGATACCACGGAAGATCTTCGTATTGCACATGACAAAATACCGAAAATACAAAAAGCCATGGTCTAGTAAAATGCTTACTTTCAGGCGCTTCACATCACTCCCCTTTCTCTTGATTTTTAAAATTTAAATCCATAGTTACTATAGACAAATACAGCACAATAAACTTAAATCTATCGTCGGTATAACCTAATCTACTATTTCAGTGTCCAGTACTAAGAGAAAATAACTACATGTTAGTATTACGAACTTAATTATTCTTCTGTTACGCATAACAACTCATGTGGAGTCTTACCCTCTTTAGTAATTATCTTATAATATTTCTGTTCCCGACATTTACTTTCCAATAAGTGAGCTCAATTTATTTAGTTTTTGACAGGTTAACAATTGAATTAATAATGTTTAAAATGTAAGTATGAAATAGATATGATATTACTAGTTGTAATGCTTACTATCTTCCCCTTTGTTTGTTTTTATTGCTTTCATTGTTTTAAGATTTTTACTTTGCACTTCATTATTTTTAACTGCATATAGTCGTTTGGAATACCATAGGCGCTCAATCTATCTAAAGTCCTTTTTATTATATCTCATGTAATTGTATTTTTTTGTGTGAGCTGATTTATTAAGCTATTATGTCTCATGTAATATTGAACAAAGACTCAGACAAAGAATCCACATTAAATTTTCTTTTAATTGCTTAATATAAGAGCAGATAATCCTCATCGTTAGCGTTTTGAACTAAAGAACTGATGTGGTGATATAGTTTATATATAAAATATATAATAATATAAAATATTTTTTTATACATTTTTATTTTCAAAACTTTTGTTTATTGTCAAATTCTAGTAGATTAGCATGGAAAAGGCTATTATTTTTTTGTCTTAGTCTCTGTGATATGTTTGTAGTATAGAGGTTATTCTAGCGATGGCTTCCAATTTATTTACAAACATTTTAAATTTAATAAAACTTTTTTACTTTTTTATTTTTAAATAAATATTTTGGAATTTTCTGTAACTATTTAGTTCAGAAATCAACCATATATATTTTAAAAGCAGAAAAATATGCAACATATTATTAAAAAAAAAATCTATGTAATACTCCCAAAGAAATTTAATAGTAAAAACTTGATAAACCTATTTCCGTAACTTACAGCATATATTAAGATACTTATTTTTAAAAATATGTGGCGTAAGTGTATAATATATATTTCATAGTAATAATTTTTTTGTAATAAGTAAATATTTATTACAGCATGAAAACTCAGATAAAATGTAAGCGTTTCTATATTGACTATAGATCATTAAATTATTAACGGTATAACGCCAGTGACGTATTCAGGGCGGGAGGACAGGGTACTGTCGTACTTTGAGAATATAACTTACAGCTAAGTCCTTACTTTATCATATTTTCTATATGTTAGATAATGCACTGCATATACAATGGCAAAAAGCAATATTTTCTTGTATATCCTCACTACCTCAGTACAACCATAGCCACGCTACTGGATAAGACTATTAGTATTTTATTTGAAAACAATATACAATAGATTAAAGGATTTTAAAACTAAATACTTTTATTAACTAATGTAATGTAGTGTAATGTATATGAAATTCTGTCAAAAAAACCAAGCTGCAATCAAATAATGGATATTGGTGTGAGATATATGGAAAGGTGATGCTTTCATTTAAGATACCTTTAACTCACCTAATTAGTTAAATTCTTTTTAAATATTATTAGTATAAATTAATATTTCAAATGAATAATGTTAAATTTAATTATTAAATAAAATCAACGATCAATTTACTACGTTAGATCTTACATACTAAATATCAGTTGACAAATTGTATATATATACATATATATATATATATATATATATATATAATTCATTGCTTAATAATTTTAAAAAAATAATTATGTTAAATTTCCTATAAAACTTAACGTGTTATTTTGATGTTTTGTTAGAATTCAGAAAATCGTACGTGGTAGTTGTAAAATTATTTAACCAATTTGTATAGAACTTTATGAAAGAACGTAAAATTGTATAATAAATATATACAAACGACAAAAAAATAAAATTTTACATATATTGTAACACATTAAAATATTTTATTAAAAAACGAGATAAGAAAATCAACAAAACTCACATAGTTAAACACACACTCTTACTTAACAGAAATTCATAAAATGAAATGAAAACTTCATAAAATACAATTCCATTCATTTAATTCAGATATTATAAACGTAATATTGTTTAACGTGGCTTCATACGTATTTGTATTCCATTTCCGCTCTTCATGACTAGTTCAGCCAGAGGATTTGGCTTGAAATTCTCGACAGGCAAAAACTCAAAGTTCCGCAACAAATAAGACAGCGAACATTTCAACTCCAACATAGCAAATTTTTGACCTAAGAAATAAAGCATTTAATGATAAAAATCTGTATAATAATACTTCGAATTTTAGCCTTACCAATACAGTTTCTTGGTCCCGCACTAAAAGCAACAAATGCATATGGATGTAGATCCTTCTCAGCAGTTAAGAAGCGTTCCGGATCAAATTTTTCTGGATCTTTAAAATTACTTTCATCACGATGTACCAAGTATACGAGCGAACTTATAGAAGCTCCTTTTGGTACAGTAATATTACCAATTTGTGTATCTTCTGTAATCTTGCGAGAGAAGAACGGCACAGATGGATAAATTCGTAAAGTTTCTTTTATAACTGCTTCTAAATAGTGCATAGACTCCTTTTCACGCCCTTCTAATTCCACTGCTTCCTCATATGCCTTTTGTTGCACATCTGCATGCTGAGATAGTAAATAAATTGCAAATGCGATTGCAGAGCTGGTAGTATCGTGTCCTTCAAACATAAATGTATCGACTTCTTCACGAATTTCACGATCTGTTAGATCACCACCTTCAATTTGTGATATGAGCAACATGTCTAAGAAAGCAAGGCGCCGCTTACTACCTATATCATCGGTTTTATCTACATCACTAAAGGTGCTGATTTGAGAATTCTTTAGCATTTCGCGTCTAAGTTTGATCACCCGATTCGTTTCATCATGCAATACTTTCAATGCTGCATCACGTGCCTTTCCGGCCCCACTAAACTTGAAAAGTATATTAAATCGTTGCCAAAATGAGAATGATTGCTTATGCAAAATACGGCAAATACTGTCAAATATAAAAAGCAACTTATTTTCTAGCAAAGGTTCTCAATTTGTATCTCAATCATGTTATACTTACTCCTGCACTGCTTGCACATATTCAGAATTGGCTTGCAACTGCGCATTCTTCTTAATGCCCATTGCTGTTTCGCATATCGCATCCAATGCGAAGAGTGTTATGTAAGGGTAAATATCGAACGGTTGACCATCAGCTTTTGCAAGTAATTGACTAACTAAGATTTTACAATTCTCTTCCATGGGTTCCTTAAATTCACTTAATATTTTGAAATGAAAACCAGGTGTGAGTAGTTTCCTGCGTCTGTGCCAAGATTCACCACTATTTGTGAGTAATCCTTTTCCCAACCATGATTCAACAATTTCATAATTACGAGATTTTGTTAGTAAAGTATTATTGCTGAGTATGTGCTTAATGTCTTCTGGATTTGTGAAGAATACCATTAAATCCTTACCAAACCAAATGCGAAAAGTTGAACCATGCTTTTTACGTTGCTCTTGAAGCCAATTTAAAATTCCTGAAATGACAAATATTCATTTAAATATAAAATATAATAAATGGGTTTATAATATTAGTTAATCTAATCGTAGAAACTGATCTAAAACAATAATTTATCAAACATAAAAATTAGAAATCATGCGATTAAGATAAACAATTACGTATATATTGATAAACTTTATCAACTTTACTATAATGAATTTACTATAAAAATTATCAGTCAGTCTTATCTGATAGACCTACAATATTAGCGATATGAAGAGGGTAAAACACGCTCTCAGTTACTTAAGTACCTGGTTACTTCGCTTTCATCTGAACATTTCATGCAGAAAATTGAAGACCTTCTTTTAAGCAAAACGATCAATTTTTGCATAACACATAGTTTGATTGTACTGAAACTTTCAAAAACCTAAAAAGTTATATATTATCAAATAATTAGTTCATAAAAAAAAAAATATAATTGCTAAGTAATAGATATATAGATGTGCTTCCACAATTTTGACAAGATATTAGTTGTCCAAATATTTAATCCATTTCATTACAATTGTATCCATTTCTTTCCGGTCATATCGTTTAATCGTCTATCGTTTAATACAACAAAAACTTGTTTACTCGCACCTTTTTGAATTAATAATTAAAAAAACAGTACCGGAATTAATTAAATAACACACAAAACTTGTGTCTCCATTCCTGACCCTCACCGACTATTATCTGTTTACTTACTTTAAAGGTATGTTCCAGAGAATGAGATTTCACAAAAGTTATCCCGAAACAGTGACGGGATAATTTGAGTATTGAAATCTTAGCAAAAATATAATATTGTACAGTACATTAAACACTGTATAGGAAAAGGTCTTTAACCTTATAACCATTTTTATGAAATCTATTTTAAAAGATTTGGATTTATAAATATTATATGCACCCTGCACTCTGGACACCTAGTTAATAATAATACCCGTCGACACTGTAATAATTCGGAATATGTATGTTATGTATATGTACGAGTATTATAAATATAAAAACAAATTTATTTTTGCCAATCATTGTTTATCAGTTCTGTTTTGTCTTCAGAAACTAAAACTCCTAATACAATTTAATACTAACATAATAAGACAGATAAGAAAATGTCTAGAATGGTGAAAATTTTAGTATGCATAGATTAAGCAATTTATATTAATTCGTAATTATTTTGAGATATTTTGTGAATAAAAATATTTGCGGTTATTGCTCGATTTTAACTTAATATAAATGACAAAAGTATGAATTACACTGAAAATTCACTAAAGTCACTCTTAGCGATTTCCCTGTATATAAAGCGTAAATGTTACTTGCTAGTACTTACTATTATTGTCACAATTTTTTTAGTTAACGACAAAAATATTTCATAATATTTCCTTAGTTGGAAAAGAATCTATACGTCATCAAAAACGTGAACAAGATATAGGAATGACATATCAGGCTTAGATATATACCTGAGAACTGATTGATCTATATGTATGGCGGTCATTGAAGGCATATGCGAATAAATGATAAAAATGTCATTAAAAACTGATTCGCTATAATGTCTAGCATAGCGTCTGGTTTTGTCCAATATAACAGAATTATATCTACATGTATATAAATTATACATAAATTTATTATCAAGTTTTTTGCGACTAATTCAGTTGTTGTTATTTTATTTTATTTTATTTAATACCCATTCTTTCTTTTACTACTTGTGTTGTCATTGCTTCTGTGTTTTTGGAATACTGTATGCTTGAAACTTTTAGACCCCTAATCTTTTCAAAGTAAGCGTTATCGTCCTATTGAACGGTCCCAACTCCTAATCCTTCTACGTACAATGAACTAATATTTTAGAAACAGTTAACATAACCTTAATGTTAAAATAGTTTTCAGAAGTGAATTACCCTAACATACTACACCGACCGTGGACTACACTAACTCACTTTCTTGGGAAACCCAGTATGAATTATATATTTTGGAATATAATTTCAAATAAACAAACGTCACTGTTTTTGTTCAATATTTATTTTATATAAGATAAATTCTTACGAAACGTTAAGAATTACTTAATAAATAAAAACATTTTTGGGTAGTGGAAGTAGATTGGGGGTAGGAATTTGTTGTGTCTCTGAAATAACCTTTCTCTCACATGTAACAGCTGTGCGGTCTCTAATAAATTTTTTTATTTAAAACAATAAATTTCTTACAAAAACCAATATCAGTTTTATTCATTTGTGGTAATCGTCATCTAAATTTTTTTTATATTCCGTTGTAAACAATTCTTTGAAATAATTACAAATAATTACTTTCATTATCGCTGAACAACAAGAGTATTTATTAATGAAATATAATTATCTTTAAGTTTTCAATTGTTTTTCATATAAAAATTATAGAAAAATTGAGCTTTGTGTTGAAAACTGTAATTAAAATAATTTACTAGTCATCACAATTATAATAGTAAATAAGATTATTTTAATCATAATTCTCATATTTAGATTCAGATCATATATACTGCATAATGAAAAGTAAATGCAAGCTGAAAATTGCAAAGAAAATCGGTTACACACATGAATACATATAAGGTTGACATTCTATCCACTTTATGACAAAGTATGTATTTATATATATATAAATATATATATAGAAACTGGTTAACATGGGAGTAGGAAGAAAGGTGTTAATTATAATCAATGCAGCTATTTTACTACTGAGCTTTTTATGTAATTGGAGTCGCTCACCATCGAGCCATTTTTTTGGATTCGCAGATAAATCTGGAAAACTTGATATCAGATTATCGGATAGATAGGTATCCGATATCGCGTAGATATCAGTGCTACAATTTTCATGTTGAAATATTCGTGAACCTGATTAGTTGTGATGCTCACAGCCTCAGCAGTCTTCAAACCTTTACTCGTCGTCGATCATCTTGCACTATAGAAACGTCTGTTTTCAATGGTTATCATATACAAATGCATCTTGCCAAAAATATTACAGAGCAATCCCTACATAGCCTTATTATCGATTTTGGGTTTGATTTATGACAATTAAGAACGAAGCCATTATCACATAAACCCGGTTCAGTTTATAAACTATTACATTGTGAACATTTTTAGTTGAGTTTAGTTTTTTTTATACAATTCACACATATGGATACGTTTATGTTAGCTAACACATTTATTACATACTTTATGTGGCTGTGAATAAAGAATATATTTAGTTTGTTGAGATACTCGTTTACGAATATGTTCTTGATTCGTGGAAGCAACTCTTTGATATTGGCAAACCAACTTAGTGACATTCGTCTATCTACTTCTCTCTGTATTTGTAAATCGTGATAGATCATTTTAATGAATTGGTACATGTGGTACGTCATGTAAGTCAAGTAAATAAATAAATAAATAAAATAAGATAATGATTCAGAAAATGATCTTGTGTAGGTTCAATACATCGATAAACAATATGAAAAATATTACATAAAGTCTATTAAGTAAATAAATATTACTTCTAAATAAATAACTGGGAATAAGTGATTTATAAAAATATTCAGAGTAGATAATCACTTTCTCTATATTATTATAAGTCATTTATGTATATACTCCACATTACTGATTAAAATTATTTTATATAAAAGTTAAAGCTTTGCTCTTCTTGTTTATAAATTTTGCATATAGTTTTCATTAAAATTATCGCATTAGAATCAACCATTAAACACATTTTCAATAATAAATCTATCTTATGCAAAGCATAAGAGTAAAGTATAATAATGAATTATTTGCAAGAATAATATTCTGTTTAATTATTATTTATTCTTATCTTATCATTTGTTTTTTTTTTTAACCGCATTGCTTTTCTGCAAAATATAAAATTATAAATAAACAAAATTAAAAATATATTCTTTTAAAATATATTTTTTGAATATGAAATTTTTTAAATAGTTTTGGGTTCTATGAGATGATCCCTCACACAAAATCCGATAGTGAAAAAAGAATATATTTATGGGGTATAGAAAGATAGGAATAGATGCAAGCGCCTTATCTGTTTTTATTTCTAATGCCAGCTAATTATGGTTTCTATATCACATTTTTACAGCAATTGAACACAAAATAGAAATTTGTGATTAAAAATCCAAATTCTAAAGCTAGTTCACATAATTTAGTAAAATTCTAAACAAACAAAATTTTTGTTTATCTCTGCAGCTGTTAACAATTCTAATTTCTTTAAGTATTTATGAGTAAAAAGTATAAGCTTATCATTTAACCAAATTTATAGATAGATAAGTTAATTTAAAAAAAATCAAAAATAGTCGCCCGTGCGACTCGTGGATTAACATTAGCATGACTTTCTCAGTATTACGTTCCTAGATTAGGTTCTATACATAAGAATATATCAATCATGCTACAAACAATGCCCCTACAAACAAAATAGTACTGAAATTCAACAATTAAAAATAAAAATATAATTAATTAATTTAATTTTCTATAGCTGGTTTATGATTTTGTTCTAATATAAACACAGCAAGTGCATTTGTTAATAAAACTTTCACTGCAAAGTAACAAAACTCCAAAAAAAAGTGCGAGCATAAAAGTCAAGTACTGCTTTGGGTTAGTTGATTAAGGAGTGCTGATTAAGGAGTCGTTATTTTTTTATTTACAATTAAAATACTTAGTTGTTTTAATAATATTTTCACTAGAAAGTGTCTATTATTAACATAAAATTTGAATATATTATTAACATGGGCTTATAAAAAGATTATACTTCTTCAAGTTTGAAACAAAGAAAAACAATTGTTAAGGGCAGAGAAGGTAAAGACTTGTCACGCCTGTAGGATGTTCAAAATTTTAAAAACAATCTCTTTATATCACACTATGAACCTCTTATGCAGGTTTCTGGTTACGCCTATGTTATGTGTTGTATATAATAAAAACAATAAATACTACTGATTAACATTTAATAGAGTAGTTGAATGGCTAGTTTACACTATTAAATAATAATTATACCACACACATATTTTTCTGATTTGTCCTTACAAAATATTAAAACTAATTAGAATAGGATGATGAAGCACATTTTTAACCTTATTAAATTATTTTTAATCACTTCAGTAGTGTTTTATTTTTTAATGTCACATAAAAACAATTTAAAATCTAGCTTGAGAAGATGTTTACATCTCTTTAACGGCACAACATACGTACAAATCAACGTTTAAAAAATTTTCTCATCATAAAAAATAAAAAAAAAATGATAAAGAACTTGTACTTTGATCTTATGTTTTATGTAATAAACTATAAACACTTTAAACGCAAGGTGGAGTTGGTTCCATATAAGATTTTCATATATTCGTACGATTGTTTGGTCTCACATATAGTAATTTTTAACAAAATTAAACTATTTTTGTTTTTATTTTTATTTTTGTATTATTAAAACCATCACTTTATTTGACGTACCTCCTTTTTTCGAAACTTCGATTAATTCACCAATGGTGGGTCCCGGTAAGGTAGTAGAAAATTGGCGAATTTTCAAAAATTGTACGATTTCGGGCAAAAAACGCATAAACAAGGCCCATAAAGCAAAGGCAATCAATACCAAAGCACTCATTTTTTTCTAATAGAAATGAATTGCAAAAAGTTATGCAGAATTTTAATCAAGTTTAATTGATTGGTCTTCAGTAACTTTAATTTAAACACTAAATAAACAAGTAACAGACACTAGAAACTTAAGACAACTGAGCTATAACCCAATAGCCATTCTGTTTATAAACTACAGCCGGAGACATATATGTGGCTCTGCCGCAGCAGCACGCATTTATACTGAATGAGTTCAGTCTGTTGTTTTCTTTTGTGAACTCAGAGCATAAATTGTGAGACTAGCGGAGATTAACAGGTTCGCTGTTAGCAAAATAGTTGAACATGAATTCGTACAGTGGAAGTTATCATAAAATTCGCATACCAGCGTGAGTAACATTTATTTAAAATGCTTTGTCTATTATTTAACAGAATAAGACATGTTTATTTGCAGTATTTTCATAGCAAATTATATTTCAAAAAATTTTATTCTGGATAAGCGAATTTTAAAAAAATTTACAATAAAACAACGTAAACGTTAAATTAATGTAAAAGTTCTAAGCTTTAGTAAGAACTTTAAAATTCTATACTTTTTATTAAAGTTTTGAAGTCAATATTATATTGAGTTTATACTAACAAATAGAAAATTGTATATTTTAAAACAAGTTTAACTACATGGAGAACTGATTTTGTTTCTAATAAATCAAGCACGCCAAAGAGTTACAAGTACTTTAGATTGTTACTCATATAGTTATGTAATATTATTAAATAATGTAAAAAATTCTACATTTTTGTAATATATTTAAACATATAATATAACTTGTTAAAAAAATCTATATTTTAAAGCTTCATGGGTGTCCAATGTTTTATGGGTGTCCAATTTTAAAATATTTTTATCTAAATTTCCTAAAAAAAATATACTAAATCATATAAAAAGAAAACACAATGATTTTAACATTTTATGATCAATTTAATTAGAATTTTTATTTTTTATATACTACAATTTAATACAAAATATGTTTCATTAACAGGTTAATACTCTTTTTAAAAAGTTTTGCAAATCAATTGCAATTAAATTTTATTACATTTAGCAGTTTATTGTTCTAAGACAGTTAATCTTTAATATACGTATATTATTATATCATTATAATCATGAATCATGCAACAAATTTATAATTAAATTGCTTCCAATACGTGAACTATTTAATAGCATAGCTGTATATTCTTCCATTATACACTGCATGTGTAATTTTTGTGCATTTTACAACACTTAATCTCATTCTATTATATATAATCACTTACCTAATCTTTATCAAATATTTAATGTTCCCTGACAATTTCTATTTCCCTTTTATTATTACATTAACTAATTAAGTTCAGTAATATACTTTCCTATTTTATCGTATACTACACTTTAATATTGTATATATTAATCAATTATTTGCTAACTAGATTGCCTTCAGTTTTGTTAAATTTTACTATTATAATATATAATATTAATAATAATATTGTTATTAGTATAGCATGATTTTTTAATTATTTATAAATTATAATATTACATTTATTTGTAATACAATTAAATAAAAACATTTAATATTATATATTTAACACAATAAGATAAATTATAAACATTTACACTCAAACATTCATATTTTATATTTTTATTTTCATTATATTTGGTTAAAAATTATTTTAAAGCTTTTTTTAAAGGAAACATGTTTATTTTTTGTGTTTTTATTAAGGATAAATTCTTAAGTGATTTGCTAAAGTTTATTAAAATAAATTGAAAAAAAAAACTTGAATATTGAAATAGGTTTCATTTACGGCAAGGATTTATAAGTTACTTTAAATTTAAATTTTTGTTATATTAGCGCTTGAGATAAAATATTAATAGTATTATTCCAACTTTAAGATATTCCAATTAATAAATAATTTCAGTGATTTTTATAATTTACTCTTTTTTATCATTCTTAAATGCCTACAAACATTTTTTAAACCTGTAGGAGTGACTTAATTAGACACATTTCACACATTTTCTTTCATTGAACACACTTTATTATATTTACAACAAAATCAATTTAATAAAGCTACGCTCGTGGTCTTAACCCAACACACGATTAAGTTACAGTAGCCAGCAATTGTATTTCTTATAAATTGATTACAGTGAGTGATTACAGTCGTCAGATACTGTAGCCAGCAACTCCAGTTTAGTCGGGCGTTGTACATAAACCTCTATTTGTTATCAAGCGAACAGCCTCCGCGCAACGAGGAATATGGAAGATTCGTAACAGAAAATGAAAAAATTTTGCATTATTTAATTCTCATCGCGACAGTCCCTTAAAGCGCTGTATATATAAACTCTCGTATAGTTATTTATATTTGATCATTAGTACCGATTTCCATTGTGTCGTGCGATCCTTACATGCTTTTCATTTTAGAAAATTCAAAAAGCAAAATAAAAACTTTTAAAAGCTTTCCGTATTATAGTAATATAGGTCACATGATATAGTCATGTGTATGTTATTTTAATATTATTATTTTAATAAAATTTCAGCAAATCACTTAACAAATTGCCTTAAGTTATTATCTAACAATTTACTAACATTTAAAGCGTATTTGTTTACTTGATATTTTTAGTATAAGAATTACAACAACGATAAGTCAATTTTGAATCAAGTTGCAATATTGCAGTAAAAATCGTGTTTACAACACAACAAATTCAAGTTGCCACAAAAAATAATTTATGCAGAGCTCTCCCTCACTCTCTCTTGCATTTTGCTAAGCTGCCAGATGTAGATACATTAAGTTTATCATAGCCAAGGTATACAAATGGTTCGGCAAACTTCAGGCGGTATTGGCTCGTCACCCGTAAGACCACCTCCACCACCGCCGCTGCTAAATTTGAAAAAGGAACTCCTTCGTCAGTGTTTCTGTTGCGTTTGTGGTGAACTGCTAGCGCTGCTGCTGGTAGTGGTGTGCTGTTGGGAATAACCCATATTAACATTACCATAGGAAGGACGTGTTGATTTCATTGAGGAGGCAGGTGCATGAGAGGAAGTTGTTGAGGAGGAGGAGGCACTAGAAGCTGCAGACATAGTAGCTGAGGTGACAGTAGAGGCACGTGAGAGGGAAGTACGACGTTTGGGTATGACAAATGCGGGTGGTGGTTGTGGTGTGTATTGTGGTGGAGTTGAATTTGTGGAAATTTGGCGTACGAAATTACGTGCACTAGAGAAAGCACCAGCAGCGCTATTATCGCTTAGACCTGCCGAAGAATGCACTTGCACTGAACCGCTGCGTGCTATAATTCCAGTTCTGGGTGGTATAGCAGGTGGTGGACCTGGAGGTGGGCCACGTGCTTTAGCGCTACCAGCAGCAGAAGGTGAAGTTGACTGGCTTTCTGTTGATGTTTGTGAAGATAAACGAGGTGGCAACTGTGGCAAGTTCTTTTCTGTGCTACCGCCACTTGTACGAGCTGATAGAGGTGCATGTGTGCCACTGTGCGGTTGATATTGCTGTTGCTGTTGCTGTTGTTGCCAGTGCGGCTGATGCGCTGCACTTGTAAGTTGCGTTGGTGTTGATGTAGTACTTATGGTATGTGTAAGCTTAGCTTGCGGTTGCACTGTTGATGTCGTAATTGTTGGCTTCTGCATCGGTATTGTATGACGTATAGTAACTGTTTGTGGCTTACTGCTTTGTTGCTGTGATGTAGTGGTTCCTGTTGTCGAAATTGCTTGCTGTGGTGCTAAACGTGGACTCGTTGAACCTCCACTAGCTTGCGTGGGCTGATATTGCTGTTTATGTTGTTGTTGCTGCTGCTGCTGCTGAGCATGCTGTTGTTTTTGTTGCGCGTGAATATCCTGAATTTGAGGTGTTATCACGACAGGATTTTTCTTTTGATCCTGTCCAGCTGCCACGTATGAGAAAACGCAGAGTACCGAATAGCAAATCTGATCGGCCTTTTGAAAATATTTTAAAATTTAATAGTGTTTGTTTTTTTTATTAAATAAAACTGATGGAAACATGAATGATAAATTTATTAAAATTATTTTTGAACAAAATTAATACAATTCAAAAAATAAATTATACTTTAAATATTATATATATATATATATCTTTTTTTATATGTACATTAAATATTATTATTATAATGAAATCGATCACATCGACTCATAGAACATTCAAGAATACATTAAATATTTACAAACATTTACACATGCATATCCATTTTATTTGTTTTTTATTCAAAATTTTTGATTGTGTATTTGTTGCATAAAAATGGCATTAGTCATCTATTTCGGCACTAGGGTTAATTTCAGGAGACTTGGACGGCTCACAGGTAGGTATGTTCGGTGACGATATCACAGTTCGTTCATCTCTCTCGCAAGCATATTTTTGCGGTGCATCCAATAATCTTACAGCAAAACGTATTGAAAACATGCGATGCAGACTTAAGGCGGCTTCTGAGGCCTTAGCGGTGTTAATCAGATTTTTTAATTGCAAGAAATTTGTTGAGTGATATTTTTTTCAGTGTAGTTTGTGTGTTGTGTAAGTTTTGGTGTTAAAACACATGAATTTATTGTGGAAGAAAAACACATATAAAGAAAAAAACAAAGTAGAAAAAACAAAAAAACATTTTTTCCTGTTTATCTTTTTAAATATTTTTTAAAATACAATCATTTATAATACAAAAATTTTTAACAAATTCGTTAGTGTGAAATGAGCGAGTTTAAGTTATTACAGTGCAAAAAAAAACCAAAAAAAGTTAAATTACTTTACATGCGTATTAAGTATCTTTAACTAATAAAAGTATTCAAAATTTGGATAGAAATAATTTTGTATTTCAGATAAAGTCAAAAATTATGTTTGTATTTACAAGAACATGATTAATAATTGAGTTGAAAAACAAAACTCACCATTGTTGATTTATATTTTCGTTGTATAAGTTGTCTGGTTTTTGGATCTGTTGAGTAAAGAACATGTGTTGTGAAAATGTTTCAATATTATAATACTTAAATAATATAAAAAATAAATGTCGATTACAAAATTATTTATAAATGAAGTCCATAAACTTTCAGTTCAAAATAAATGCTACGGATTGGATGTAACAGGCAACATCTTAAATCTATTTTCTTCGTTCTGATGTGACCTTGATAAATTCTTCACGCTTTCATAATATTGTTTAGACAGCGGTACATATACATATATAATAAGTGAAAGTAAATATAAAAATCTATTAAAGTCTATTATTAAATTAAAGTGAGTGTGAACCGCACATAAACATATAGTTACTTTAAGACCAACTAATGTACTATCGCAGAATAATTCCACATGCTAATTTGTTGGTAGATTTAAAACTACTTGGGTACGGGCTTCATATACAAAATCGAAATAGAGAAAGCTGAACATTTAAATTGGGTTGTGATATCATCCCAAAAGTTAGTAGGAGAAGTGGCTACTACTACCACCAGCGGGCGTAGTGACACTATAAGCTGTATTCCCAGCGACTTCACCAGCACTATGAAGGGAACAGTTCACACTCTGCAAGTGCTACACTCTGCAATGCACAGTTGCCACAATTGATATAGACTGCAAGTGTTGCGAGATAAAATGGTGCGAACGAAAAAGTGCCTCTATGCTCTTCGGCCGAATCCAACAGTTTTATTTCGGGAAATAAAAAAATTCCGATCACTAAGTCTATTAAAATAGGATTAAAAATCAGTTCATTACTTAGTTACTAAGAAGTTTAAGTCGACAATAGTGAATGTAAAACGGTTCGTTTGGGCTAAAACTAAAAAGAAAGGACAGTTTATCGCCTCGAATTTGAAATATGCAAACCGGTTTAAAGAAGATATTATGACCACATGATAACAGTTTGAAGATTCTGAAGTAGTAAAACGGGCAAAGAAACTTAAAGAAAAAGAGTTGGTTGCAACATCTAAATCAGCGGCTGCGGCCAATAAGGCACTTGATAGTAGCATTTATTGATCGCAGTTATTCTTTAGGAAAAGAGAAATATGGATATGCTAAAATGATAATAAAAGCACTTCTTTCTAAAATAGACGCGGTTTCAAATGCATATCTGCCATCATTCGTTAGAGAAGAGTATTTCAGCGATGTTTAAATAATTAAATAAAAGAGCAATGTATTACTAAAATGGTCAGTGGGAGTTGTAAACGCTTCAATTCCTATGGAAATAGGGGTTACGCAAAATAGCTAGCCATAGATACATGGATACCAAAGGTAAAGTTACTTAAGCCAGAAAATCATATTCATTTGCTGACATCATTCTTATGGGTCTTTTTTTTATTGCACCATATGTCGGACACATTTTTAGTGCTTAGTTTTTCGACGCGTTCAGTCGCCATTGACTATGACTACGGTCATCTATTAAATAAAATAGTAATTACTAGATAAATAGTAGAAGTTACTCTTTCTAAGTAAATAGATTTCAATACTTTGTGTCCAACCAAATATATTAGATATTCAAACAATAAAAAACTTTAAAAAGTTTTATTTGGCAAATAAATAAATTATATAGAAGTATAATATGTCCAATAAGTAGCGAATTTACTTACTATATTCCTCCAAAACGAAAATGCCACCTTTCTGTGTGAAGCACTTTCGTATGTGATCCAAACGCACAAAAAACTGAAATTAATTTTAAAATCGTTAAATGTCGTTACAGACTAAATAAAACTAATATTTTTTGTATTTTTTCTTGATTAAATTTCATACTCGTATATGAAAATAATAGGCAAACACTATTTTTACCAGAAATAATAATTTTTTTTGTGCCAAATTTTTGAACAACATGCATTTTCTTTTGCCAGATTTTTTAAGCGAAAGCTACTTTTATTTAAAATTAATATTGAAATACTGAAAGCATTTGTAATTACTTAGAGCACTAATTAACGCACTTTTAAATACAATATCTGTTTAGTAATTAATTAATCTAATTTTTTAAAACTAATGAAGCATGTATATAAAGCAAAAAATAAATAAATTCTGAAAAAAATGTAAATAAAAAAAGTTGAAATAAATCAAAAATCAAAAATTAAGTGAAAATTATGAAGCTTCAAAAGTGTATTCTGAGCGCTACGGCAAGCCACTAAATCTAAGTTTTTGTGAGTTAAGCTTTGATGTGATAAGCAATTTTTAAAATTGATCGTTTTCGTATAAAAATTTGTATTAAAAATAATTAAAAATAAAATTAACAAAAATTAAAAAATTTTATATAGAAAATTTTTATTAATTTTAATTAAAGCGAGCATTAAGTATGTACTCTTATGTTGGTTCTTCAACCTTTTTTCTTGATGTCAATGAACTCTAATTAGCACTTGTGAGATGGTCTTAAACATACTAAAATCAATATTAAATATATATTATTGAAACTGAAATTTTATATTTTTCATTTAAAATGTTTTTTTGAACAAAAGCATTTCATTAAAATTATAAGCAACGCGTACATCTGGTGTAATTAGTGATGTCCTTCTTAAAATAATATCAAATTTAAGGGTTTTTAATTAAACGCAAATATGCCGTTAAAATGTATTTAAATGATATTTTTTAAATGTATAAAAATAATTTTTTTTTGTATTAATTCAATATATATGATAACAGCCGCTTTTTGGTGAACAGCAGGGTTAATTGCAGTAACTTAGTTCTTATAACAAATTATGTGGAGCGGGGATTTGCTGTAGTAAAATAGCAATTTTCTTATTTAAATTGTTTCAACAAAACAATAAACTGAGAACTTTTTTTTACTAATTAAATACGTTATTTACTAACACTAACAACATGCGATAGTACCAAACAAAAATAATAGAAATATTTTGATTTCAGAATAAATATAAGAATTTTTCTTTAACATTTTCCAAATTATATTCAATTTTGGCCTCAACTAATTTTGACTAGAAACCATAAGTGTTTTTAGAAAATTAATATTAAAAGAAGTGTTTTTTAATACAGATCTCAAACTAAAAGTATTTTTATTTATATAAATAAGTTTTAGTTATAAAATGCAAATTTTTTGAAATTAAAACCAACTGAGAATTGTAATCAAATAGAAACCAACTAAATATTTAATTCAAAAGTTTTTAAAATTTTATTTAAATGTTAATTAACTACAAGCTACTTGCGTTAAATTTGCTATACAGTAAATCTACACAAGCAAAAATAATAACAATAACAATTTTTATGTTGTTTTCATTTAAGTTTTCAACGCATTAGTTCGCTTATAAACAAATTTTTTTTTCTAACATTCGTATTAATTACTAATATTTATAAACGTTTTAATTTTAATTTTAAATTAATATTCGAAATTTTTTTGACAGTAACTACTAAAGTGTGTGAAAGAGGCGCTCAATTTCTCTTTTGTTTTGTATGTAAAAAGTTTATAATAAATTTGTGATTTCGATTAAAATATTTGTTTGTGTCTTTGCCATGTTTGTATATTTGTTTTCAAAAAGAAAAACTTATTATTATAAAGTAAAATAAACAAAACAAAATATAAATAAATTAATAATAATCACTTATTTAAATATAATTAATATATTCTTTTTCCATTATTAGTTACATATTATTAAAGATAATAGTACTATTATGTTTTAATTAATAATATAAATATAAAGTTAAATAAAATATTGGAAGTAATGCTCTTATCAAACTATATAATTTTGTATAAAGTTTAATACAATATAACAATTCTAATTAAATATGTTGTAATGACTTTTAACATTAACCGCATTCTATTTGGAAGGCATGTGTGTTTAGATAAGTATTTAAAAAAATAAACGCATATAATTTAAAAAATGTATTGGCAACACTTTCAATACGTATTCGATAGAAACCACTTAAATGGAACAGTGGAACGTGTGGAAAATTAGAAACGAAATTATCAATATTTTTTTCTAAATGCGTTTGTATTACAAAAACTAAAAAATAAAACACGGCTTTTAAAAATTAAGTACAGTTATGCTCATAATTATTAAATATTTATATATATATTTTTATTTAATATACTTATATTAAATACAACTTTATGAACTACACAAGAAAAAAAAATAATGTTCAATTAATATATATAATATAATATTAATATTATATGTATATTAATATAATAATATATTTTATTATTATATATTAATGTACATTATAAAATATATTAATTATATTATTACTATTTATATTTCATATTTATATTAAATCAAGAAACCTATTATTACAATTTCAATTATTAAATATCACTTGAAGAAGTTTATGAGTAAAATTATTTAAATTTCACATAAACATAATATGTATATTTCATATTAATGAGCAAAAAAATATAAAATATAATATAATACTCAAGCTCAAGACTCTAAACTTTGCATACATATATTTAATTTAATATTCATATATACACCCATATGAAAAAAAAATATTCAAATTATTACTACTCTTAATAGTAATATATATAAAAACTTAATTCAGGAAATTAAAAGAATATTATTATTGTATAACTTTTATATAATATTATTAATCTAATAATAACAGAAATAACATATCTTATTCCTGTATAAAATAAAAATATATACTAAATATTCCATCGTCAAAATAATAATTTAAATTTTATGCTATAAATAATAATAATTTAAAATAATGCTAAATAATACTTTTCATTTATCTATTTATTGTTAATTTTCATTTTTCTATAAAAATTATTATGAACAAAACATAAAAAAAAATAAAAAAAAAATCGACCATTATAATATTAATTGAAAAAAGGTGCATTCAAAAAAATAAAAATATCCCAAGTCAGTTTAGATTTCGCTTTGAGATTAAAAATCATCGTCCGACGAGTCAGATTCGGTTCGTTGGATTTCTGGAATAACATTGGATTTGTTGTTTTTCATTTCATATGGATCGAACGGCTGTTGTGAAATATCAAGCTGAGGGGAAAATGATTTTTCCTTCAATAAGTTACAGCTTGTTGTGTTTGTGATGGTTTTAAGGGAATGGGAATATTTGGTCGTGTCAGACGTTGTAGTGACAATTTTTGTTCCACAAACAAATCTTGATTTTATGTTCTTGTCATTTTTGGGAATCAGATCAGTGGTGTATCCAAAAGACTTATTTTTATCACATTCTGCTTTTATTCTGATAGCTTCATTAACATCTGGATTGCAATCAATTAATGGTTTCAGTTTGAGAATTTTACTTAACGATGTATCCTGCAATTCAACTGAATTATTTTGCTTCTTGCCGATTTTATTTAAGCTACTGAAGTTGCGGAGTTGCAATCGGGAAGAAAGATCAACTCCTTTGCATAAAGGAGTCGAAACTTTGTCACATTGTACTCCTCTTCTGGTAATTTCATTTGCCGCGAGACGACAGTGAAATTGATCGAAAGATATATCCTGCAATGTAATTGAACTTCTTTCTTCTTCAAATGAATTGTTTACGCTGATAATATTTTGTAGTTGGTGATTGTAAACATAATTGTCTTCATTTTGCGATTGGGAGATGTGTGTGATACATGGTTCATCTAAATCAAGCTCTTGAGTAATGTTATATTTCAAGTAATCAATTGGTTCAAATTCAATATTATTTTCACGTAATTCGTTTTCCCGATCAAGTATAGCGCAGCGATGTTTCAGCGTCTCAAACCGATAGCGAGCCATATCTTGTTCTGAATTACGCAGTTGTTCTTCTAAGCCTGACTTTTGTAAGCGTATGCTGAGCAACTGACTCTTAAGGTCATCAGTTTCAGTTTTACATAAGTTCAGCATTTCATTAAACCAAATCAAATCATTATCGCTAGCCAAGTCCCTTAGAAGATCTATAGTTTGTTGGTATTTTAACTGAAGTGCGTCATAACGTTGGTTTAAGTTAAGTAATCTTTCATTACATTCATCTTGATAGGAGATATCTGCTTTAGAGAAAATAGAACAACAAGCAAGTAATTCCTTGCGTATCGATATATTCGCAGCTTTTAAGCGATTTTTTTCAAAATCAGTTTCGTTAAAAATTTTTATCATATTTTGATAATTTTCCTCCAAACGTTCTTCCAAACAGAAAATTTGGTCTTGTAAAGTCATTATATTCTTTTCACGCTCAACTAAATTGAGTTTCAATTGTATATTGAATTTCTCAGATTCTTTTAATTTCTGTAATAACTCGTCATTTTGCTGTTCTAACAATTGGATTCGTTTAATAAAGTAAGTTATTAATTCAAACATATCAGCAGGTATATTCTTAGTTATTTTTTCCATAGAAGCTGAATCGAACTTTTCACGTAGTTTTTTATATTTAACGCAGATTGTATCATAGTCTTCTTGAAGGTTAACGTCTGCTAACTTACCAGTTTTACGCTTGCGGAGCTTATCTTCTACATCGACATTGCAATTTATGAACTGTTCCAATCCACGTTCAAGGAAATCTAGGCTGACAGTGGCAGTTTCCAAATCACGTTTCTGCTCGAATATGAGTTGTTTGTTTTTATCATTTTCAATTATTAATTTTTCATATTTTTCAGATAAGTTAACATGATGGGTTAACAGTTCATCTGCTGTTAGCGAACACAGTAGTGATAATTGCTCCATTTCATTGATTTTTTTGCACTTTTAAATACAAACCGTACTTGATTACAAATTTTTTTTTGACTATAT